TAAATTTGAGTCCGCCGTGCGTGCACGGCGTGACCCAACTAGTAGATGTTATAAAATATTGTAAGTATTTTTAAATATTTTAAGTATTTTTAATATTTATATATCACACTTAAAAAGAATATTTTGCCAAAAAAAAACATTAAATACACATTGTAAACGTTAATAGAAACAGTCTTCAATATTCATCTTTGATTTTGTCAAAACAAATCTTATAAAATCGGTGAAGTCAAAATTTGTACGTAAAGTCTATCTATACTAAAAAAAGGTAGATTCAAAATTCTTTATCTAATTTCTTTTTTTCCTTATCTAATTCATTCTTATCTAATTGTATAGAAATCTGTTCTGATTTTGTGTAATCCTCTAATTGTATTTGTATCATATCCACTAAAATTGGTTTAACAAAAAAATCCCATAACATCCAATAAGAAAAAAGTACGTAAAATCTTTATTAAAATAAAAAGGCTTTATTTATTATCTAATTTATTATCTAATTGTATGGAAATCTGTTCTCATTTTATATTACGTACTACAAATTGTGCACCCGTGTTCAGGAGCTACTTAACCGGCAAGATATGTGGAAATAACTCATTTAGTGCTTTTGTCCCGTGCATACGGTATGTATTTGTATTACACGTACTAGAAAATTGTGCACCCCGTGCATCGCACGGACTCTGTACTAATAAATGACATTAAAATTGTGCACCCCGTGCATCACCCGTGTTCACATTTTGGCCTATTACAGATCACGTACTATATATATCCTGTACATTTTTCTTTATTCATTTATATAATTATAAAACTTGATAAATAGCTTTAATTTTGTGCACCCCGTGCATTGCACGGGATCTGTACTAGTTTTTTTTAATGACAGGGTATACACATAATTTAACTATGGGGAAAATTTTGAAGTCCTATATAATCAGAGAATAAACATTACAACTTAAATTAAACCTTAAATTATAACATAGGGAGATTCTATAATTCCGTTACGGAATCATTCCGTCGGGAATGGTAACCGTTAGATCAACTACTCACGATGGATTCCGATGGAATGGTTCTGTAACGGAATTGTAGCATTTTTTTATAACATAATTTTAAACTGCTAATGACTATAAACCACGGGTCGAGATCTCCTTATGCCTCGTCATGCAATATTCTCTCTAAAATACAACACTTCGACTCTTAGACACTTTGAATTAATCCTCAATCTCGAGTCCAAGAACATGTTCGCCACTTTAATTTGGTTAACATGTTAGGTTTTTTCGTTATTGAACATTTTCCTTGAGCAATTCATATATCATGTTTGGTAGTGCACCAAAATCAACTATGATTAATTACAAAATGTGGGTCCGTAAATTGGCAATTGTCATTGCCTTACTATAAGCATCTTGACATTGTATTGTTTTTTTCCTTAATGTGTATTCATATTTTCATATTGTGGGGACAATGAAAATGTCAATTGTTTAAAAAAGTTGAATTTTGGAGGAAGTTATATAGTACTGTGCATGCATATACTTTAACATTATGGGGAGAATGATAATGTCCATGAAATACGTTGATCTTTCTTATTCATGTATGTAATATTTATTTCATTTTCTTTATATATAGTTTATGATACGAAGACAATTTAATATATATATAGTTTTATAGTTTATGATACGAAGACAATTTAATACGAAGACANATAAAAACACTTAATTTTGTAGATCAAATTTAATTAATATAAATTAATTTTAATTTTTCTTATACAATTATATATATAATCAGATATCGGTTTTAATTGTTTTTTTCAACAATACATCTAACTTGTTCTCATACCATATAATTGAAATATGTTTTTTTTAATACTAAATTAATATCATCTTATTTTAATGGATACCATACTTTTACTTCTATCTTGTTCGAGCAATGTTTGTTGCGTCTGAATAACTTTCAAAATAGTTTAGTTTTTATTTATTTTTCGACAACACATCTATTCGTTCTTACCATAAAATTGAATTCAATTTTTTTTTCTGGATTTTAAGATAATTTTTATTTTATTTTAATGAAAATAACATACTTTTACTTTTATTTTGTTTGAGCAATGTTTGTTGGCGTCCGTTCTACTTTTAAAATAGTTCGATTTAGTTGTTTTTTTCGACAACACATTTAACTCGTTTTTATAATATAAAATTTCATTCAAATTTTAGATAATGAGCTATTGTGAAAAATTAACAATTTTATACATGTCTTGATTTACATAAGGGAGTTGAAATTATGCAACGTTGATATCATTTTGCAGAACAATTTTGGTAGTGGAAATTATTATTATTATTAATTTATGAATATTTAACAATCAGCTATGTGAAAACGCCTCTCATTGCAGCATTTAGAATAATAGCGGTTATGATCAAAACGCTGACTAAAAAAGTTGAATTACCAAACATTTGTTTTTAGCTGTTTGATCAAATGAAAAAGCTACCTCCAGCAAAACGTTCAAATTGTGTCAAAATGCTAATAACCAAACAGAGCCTAAGTCTTGGATGACATGAACAAAAGTATATAAAAGTATCAAATTTAACTCAATGCAAAGAGACTATATCTCTACTTGAATAGACTGAAGGCTATACCGAGTCTTTTTTCTTGCTGCCACATAAGCAGGACCCAGTCTACTTGCACTTGCATTGAAGTACATATTTTTCTTGACTGAGTCTATTTCTTATGTGTCATGTGTTTTGTGAATGAACCCAAAACATTGTGGGTGCTCTAAGAAGAAATTTAATGTGAATAAGAAGGAATCTAATGATGATCATAACGTGATTAGGATGAGGATAAACACTAAACAGATAAGATCAAACTCGGGAAGTCGAGCAGGCTGACCGCAGGCAATCAGACAATTGGTGCAGGTATTCCCCAAAAAAAGGGGTTGAGGTATAATTGTAAATCCTTTGCATAGTTTGTACAGTTATCTACTTACAGTTTGTATTCTCTGTCTCTCCTTGTACTGACTTGAACGTTGAAGTGATAATTCTGGGAGACTCTCCCGACTCTTTTTGCAAGTCATCTTTAACTGTTTAGCTAAATCAGAGGTCATAACCAGCCGATTCACTTTAGACCTGAGTCACCGATATATCAATTGTAAAAGAGAAATTAAGATATTGATTCGGTGCAAACGATTTTTTTTTTTTTTTATTTCCATTAATCAAAGTAAAACAAACCGAAAAATATGATTAAATAAACAACACATCACCACATCGTACCAAATTTATAAGTTCGGCTCAGTCTTTCCATTTTGGACGACTTCTTATTCCTCCCAAGTTAGACATGTGTTTTGATTTCACTTGTAATTAAAATATTTTTTTATACAATATATAAAAAAAATTATTATTTTGCACATCCAAAATTACGCGATCAATTCCACGAATTTACCAAAAACTCNCGAGGAAAGGAGAAATCTATATATATATATATAAAGAATAACTATTTACTAAAGATAGTAGCAAAAAAATTTAAGAACATTTAATGCATACCTTATTTAAATTTTTTTAAAATATATGATTAATTACTTTCATGTGCACATTTCTGAATCAAATATGATCAGAAAAATTATTTCTTTGAATAATTTTATTAACATCTGCAATAATTTTATTGATATCCATTATCATAAACTATAATTTGATTGTCCGTAATTCATGTTGATAATATTTTGGTCAATGTAAATATGAAAATAATTTTAAGTCTTAACCATATTATTAATTTTTTTCACAAATATTGACTTCCATCGTAAAATATTTATAAACAATCATATCATGTTAAATAATTTTCTCCTTCTAACTAACTAAACGAAATCAAGTTGGTGAATTAATATTTTTTAACCTTTATTTTATTATATAAAATCAAATAAATTTTATAAATTAAAATAATTTACCATTTAAGAGATAATTTACTAATGGCTAGATAATAAAATTAAAATATGTTCACTATTCTTTACAATTTCAACTTGTGATTTATTTGTATATTATTGTCAACCATAATAATTTTATTATTTTTTATTTGTTTTCATAATGAATTTTTTGTAAAATATATATTTACATTGCATAGTATGTTAAATAAACTAATAAAGCCTTAGGATGCAAATTAGAAAAATCTCTTGATTATGTAAGGGTTTATTATTTGACAATTTGCTAAATCAATTTTTTTTTTTTTTAACAATTATGAGAAAATTAAATTCCAAAAAGACATGTCTGTGTATTTTGTAAATATTTATACACAAAATTTTATTTTAAAATTTTTTAACATAAAGTAAGAAGAAGAAAACTACTTCTATAACCTTTATAAATAATAATAATGACGTTATATGACAACAGATATTATCATAAAATAATAATTGAGTATTGTATGATAAAAAAAAATAGGTGTAATTTTTATTTGTTTTCTTATATGAATAAAGATATATTGTAAAAAAACGTTAACAAAATAATATATTAATTACCATGTTAACGTCATGACTAACATAAATATCACTGTTTGAAAGAAGTGAAAATTTGATGATCCAACCATATTGTTTTTTGCCTAAATAAGTCTTATAGAAATGACTCATTTAATATATATATATATATATATAATTTACCCAATAAAAAATTAGAATGATGGAGACTTGTCAAAACGGGCTTTGGCCCGAGGGTCGGCCCGTCCCGCCCCACCAAAAGAGTGGACCGGGCTGAGCTATTAGAGGCCCGCTAGGGAGCGGGCCTAAACCGGCCAGCCCGCGCGGGCCGCGGGCTTTTGCGGGGCGGGCCTGGTGGGAACGGGCTGACCCGCCTATTTAATGTTTCAATAGATAATCAATGCCCCTAAGCCCAACTGAAGAGTAAAGCCCAACAGAAAAGGAAAAATATTTGATAAGGCCTGAAGCCCAACTTATTCTTTTCAGCCCAAAATCAATGATTCAATAACAGAGAGTGAGAGTCTGAGAGAGTCGGGCGTGTCGCGTTTCACTAATTTGTAAACCGTAAACCTAAATGCTCTCGTCGATCAAGTCTCATCTCATACTCATTCTCTCTCATCCTTCGAGCGGCGGCGGCAAGACGTTGCGAGGCTTCGACTCGAGCGGCAGGACCTCGACTCGAGTGGCGAGCGGCGAGACCTTCGACAGTTGCACTGGAGCGGCAAGTGGCTAGCGGCAAGCAGTGTCTCCGAGCGGCGCCGGCAACGACAAGGCAACTCCATTTCGGTAAAGGATAATGATGGCTGAACCCCTTTAATTCTTTGTTCTATCTATTCTATGGGGTGTATTTGTGTGTATTTGTCAGTGATTGTGAATTGAATTGGGTGACTGTGAATTGAATCAATGTTATGATTATGAATTGAATCCTGAACTTGATGAATGATGAGTTGATTTTGATTTGTTTTCTCTATTTTCTTTGGGAGGTGTTTTTTTCTTAATTTTTTAACTACGTTGTTTTTTTTTCTTTTGGAATTTGTTCTTGACGCATCACGCGTGTTACAAGCAGCCTAAGCAGGTGGTTTTTTTTTTCAATAATTTGGCGGGCCAGCCCGCCTAGCCCGCGGCCCGTGGCGGGGGGTGGGCCGGGCTGGCCATTTGGGGGCCCGCCCCGCCCCGCCGAAAGGCGGGTTTTCGCGGGCTGCGGGCGGGCCCGCCCTCCAGCCCGTTTTGACAAGTCTGAGTATCAATAAGAAACTTATCTAATTTACCAAACTACCCTCATCCCAACAATGAAAATTTGTTACTTATTAATTATTGCTTCTGTGCTATTGCTTGGTTTGGGAAAAGAGATCGGCAAACGATCCTTTCAATTCTAGGGTTTTTTTTTCGACATTCTTACATTCTTACCCAAACGATCTGCTCTCAGGTTCGTTGTATATCCCTTTTAATTCTCCCTTTTCTAGGGTTTTAATTTTAACCTTTTAATTCTTTCGATCTCCCTTTTCAGTTTGTGTTTCTTTAGAATTTTATGGGAACTTTTCAGTTTTATCTTCAGATTTGCAGTAGACTGAAGTGATCGATAACCCTACTTTTCCCTTAGATCGGGTCGAATTTCATCACAGGAACCGCTTCTATCAGGTAAGGTACCGACAATGGTTCGTAAATCTTGTGCATTGAAAGGAATGGGTTTTTGCATCTCCGATTTATGTCATTTTTAGATTGTGCTGGTTTTTATTCTCAGATTTTGACGAAAATGACTCAAGACGTTGAGATGAAGGAGCAGCAGCTCGCCCCCTCAAATTCCATTTCAACCACTTCACCTACTACTCTTCAGCGTAAGTATCTAATTAGTTGCACTTTTTCAGAGAAATTATGGCTGGCTGTAGATTTAGGTGATGAAAATGAGGGTATGGTTGTCTAATTATGGCATTTTTAGCAAAATATCTTGGGAAAATAGATGAAGTTTGCATCTGTTTAAGCTTAGACAAGTAATTATTATTTGAGCTTATGGAGGAGGTTTATTTTACTATAAAGTTCAATGATAGACTATGCAGATTTTTTCTCTGACACTTGACACTTCCCCTTTCTCAGTAGCCTGACCTGAGTGGAACATATTTGGGGTCTAATTTGTGTTTTATTTTATCAGTTTTGAAGGACATTGCTGGGTTGATTGAGGTGGGGGCTTACACTCGAGAGGTCCGGAGGATTGTGAGGGCTATTCGGTGGACCATTCAGCTGAGAAAGAAGCTGAAGGCTTCTTCTATTTCTGCTTTTCTCAATTTTGCCCTTGTGCCCGGATCTGAGGTGCATTCGCGCTTGTCCTCATATGTTCCTCAGGTAAGCGAATTAGAATTTTCCTTCATGATGTTGATGAAGTGTTTGACCGAAAAATTTGCAAAATCTTTTTGTTTTCTTGGCATAGTGGTTCCTTATCCAGATGCTTTGACCAATGGTATGTTATTTGGAAAAATCTTCCGATGCCTTAGTGGTTGGCTTTTCGTGCTAAGACTGTCTTGTTGTGGTGTTTTCTAGGAAGGTGAGCAAGATATGGAAGTCGATAGCGTGACTTCTGGTACACAAGCCCCTGCAAAACACTCCTTGCCTGAAATCGAGATATACTGCTATTTGCTTGTTCTGATCCATTTGATTGATCAGAAGAGATACAATGAGGTATGGGTGTCATTAAATTTTGTCAACTTTGATATCATGAATCAAATCTGAATATTTGCATTTGCAATTCATTGATGATGGTCATTGTCAGGCTAAGGCTTGCTCTTCAGCCGGCATCGCTCGTTTGAGGAATGTTAATAGAAGAACAGTTGATGTCCTAGCAGCCAGGCTCTACTTTTACTTCTCCTTAAGCTACGAACTTACTGGCAATCTTGCTGAAATACGAGGGTATGCATATCTCTATACTCATTTGAATTGTGCAGCAACAGTGAGGCTTTTGTATTGATGGAAATTTCTAAGCCTAGTTATGTTTAGAGTACCCCTTAAACTTGAGTTGGTGCATTTTTTTTACTGCCAAATAGTGTCTTTCTTATAGTCGATGGTTTCACGTCAAATAGCATTTGTTGACAGTGATCTTCTTGCTTTGCACCGGACTGCAACTTTGCGCCATGATGAGTTGGGGCAGGTATGTTTGGCATTTGACTACAGTAGTTAATAGTTTGTCAATTGACTTTTGCTTTGTCTTTTCGTTGTTGATGATGTGGCTGCATGTTTGCAGGAAACTCTTTTGAATCTTCTGCTGAGGAACTACCTTCATTACAACTTATATGATCAAGCTGAAAAATTGAGAGCAAAGGCTCCCCGGTTTGAGGCTCATTCAAACCAGCAGGCAAGTCTTAAGGCCTGCATTGCCTTTTTTGTTAGAGATTTTTTCTTGTGATTTAATTAGAGATAACTTTACGTGCTGTAATTAAGACTTTTAGAATTTAAACTACAAAGTGTATTTAATTTAACCTAATAGGATGATCCTGTAAATGCTTTGAGACTCAATTCATTCTTTCCTTTTTCCCGCGGTCCAAGTTTGAAAATTGAGTTTCCATGAAGAAACTGAAATCCAGTGCCATTAGTGTTTCCCTGTTTTTTTCCAAGATCGTGGATCAAGTATAATTATTATTATTATTATTTTTCTTTGATTTTAAAATTTTATTTTGATATATGTGTATATAATATAATTAATAATTGTTCTGATCCTTTTTATGGTCTGCAGTTCTGTAGGTACCTGTTCTACCTTGGAAAGATTAGGACAATTCAGTTAGAGTACACTGATGCCAAGGAATCTCTCCTCCAAGCTGCCAGAAAAGCTCCTATATCTGCTCTCGGCTTCCGAGTTCAGTGCAACAAGTGGGCTGTGATTGTCCGCTTACTGCTTGGTGAAATTCCAGAAAGAACTGTTTTTATGCAGAAAGGGATGGAGAAAGCCCTGCGGCCCTACTTCGAGCTTACAAATGTGAGTATATCCTATGGACCTTTGCGAGAATTTTCTCACTTGTATTCTCATGTTCTAAAGTAAACCTGTTGTGACTTCCTTCCTATTTGTAAATGTTTTGTGTTGGTCAGCCTACTGTTGGCCAGATATTGGTGGTATCTCTGCTAATTGTCGATGACCATGAAATACCATACATTCTCATCTTATTAGATAATGGTGGGGTGTTAGTACATATCCAGATTTTAAAAACAGATTATTAGGGACAAAAAGTTGGGTCTGGGCTGGTTACCCAAAATAATATAATTTTTATAAAAGATTCTCACATTTTTAATATTTGCAAAAATGCTCCTCGGGCTTTCGTTCCATCAGGAATGGACTGAAAATATTCTAGGGTTTCCGAGAGAAATAAAAACTGTCACAAGGTTTCGGTAGTATTGAAAATTCTCCTTCCACTTCTTTCATTTTTCTTTTCCCTT